CTCCCAGGCTCTCAAACCTGGGAGGGAGGGGGAGATCCCCAGCGGCCGCGGAGCGCGAAACAGCTGATTCGCGCGCCGCTGCTCCCCCTCCCTCCCAGGCTTGAGAGCCTGGGGGGAGGAGGCAGGGCTGGGGATTTGGGGAAGGGGCGGAGTTGAGGCGGGGCCGGGGGGTGGGGTAAGAAAAAAACGAGGGGAGCGGCCAAAATTGATTTTGCTTGGGGCAGCAAAAATCCTAGAGCCAGCCCTGGGAGTAGGGAGAGTTCTTATTCCTATCTGGAACAGGAAGTAGTCTGATCAAGTTAAGGGGATGGTTCTTGCATTTATATTCACAGCCAGCCCTAGGATCCAGTCCAGGGATAGTCAGCTGTGAACCTATATCTGGAGCTTACCTGTGAAAAACCTAAGGTGGAAAGTTTTGGATATCTTTCTTAAAATACTTATAAAACACTTACGTGTGTGTTTGTTTTTAAACACAGTTATTGAGTATCAGTGAAACGTTGGGGGGAGGGATAGCTCCGTGGTTTGAGCATTGGCCTGTTAAAACCACGGTTGTGAGTTCAATCCTTGAGGGGGCCACTTAGGGATCAGAGGCAAAATCAGTACTTGGTCCTGCTAGTGAAGGCAGGGCGCCGGACTTGAGTTGATGACCTTTCAGGGTCCTTTCCAGTTCTATGAGATAGGTATATCACCATATATTTTATTTGATTTGTATGAAATTCATGGTCTGTTGACTACTTCATCCTTGAAATATTACCTGCATTAAAATGTTTGCCCATCACAATATTTATATATTTGCTTCTTTTTGACTTGTTTCTGTTATAAGGTAGAAATGAATATAGTAGTTCATATGAAATATTATTTGATTTCCAAGCAAAATCCTATTTATTCACACACTATTAAAGCCTATCTTTTTAATCCAAGGCAATGTCAATTCATGTCCCTGACCAACCCATATTGGTGTTTGTATGCTCAAAAATAGGTGCGAGAACAAAGGAAACCAAAGCAGACTCTAAGCCTTAAACTAAGATTGAAGTAAGCTAAAATGAGTATAAGGAATTAAAAGCATTACTTGCATTTTTAGACAGACACCATAGAAGAAACATAGTGTAAAGCTCAGTGCAGATGTTTCAGCCCTCCGGAGAACTATTGCACTGAACAAGGCAGAGGATGGCTTAAATGTTCGTACTGAACTTTGCACTTTTGTTTCTTCTCTGATGTCTTGAGAGCACCTCAGCAGCAGTAGTTTTAATTCCTTCTGTTGGTGTGAGTTTTCAGACCCTCTTCAGGGTTTTAATTTTGTCTCTACACTTGTATACCTAGGTTGTGTGCTGGTTTTCAAAGTATCATCTGTTTCTACAAGAAGAAACTCACTGATTTTGGAACTTACTATACCCCCCCTGAATTTTGATGGAACCTAGATATTTATATTTATAAAATCCTAGTCCAGTCCCAAATGCAGTTTTTACTGTTGTTTTTTTAATCTTAGACATCATATAATCTGCGATGGGGCAGACAGTTCGGGCAAAACCCAGCTCCCAGTTTGGATTGTAAATCCTTCAAGGCAGGGATACTCTCTTTCCTGTGTCTGTACAGCCCCAGCACATTGGGGCCTCCATCCAGATTGAGGTCTTCAGGCACTATCATAATAATATAAATATGTATCACTATTACTAGAGGCAATGGGAGTTTTACTAATTATTTTTAACAGGAGCAG